CCAAAGAAATAAATAGAGGACGTCTTGGGCTTCAGAAATTATCGAGAGATCACAACAGAAGCCAGAGAACTCGAGAGAGAATCAAGACGGAGTTTCCCGGGAGCAGAGATTGAAGAATCGTCGTCGAGAGATCGCTGCGAGTCTTCTTTATCTGTTTCTATGTTTCTTCTTATTGATTTGAACTCGTTTGTTGTTATGGGTTGTGAGTAGTCGTTTCACTATAGCTAGGGATTTAACCTTGTAGGGATTTGTTTGGTTTTTATTTTCTGAAACTACGTTATCGATACTCTTCGGTTTAATTGAATTGAGTTTATTGCTTTTGATCTTCTTGGCTAGTTGATTGATTGATTTTAGATTCTGATTTGCAACGAGAGTTGAGATTAGATTCGGAACGAATTCATTGAATGAATTGATTAAGACTATTGAGAGATAGGTTAATCGATTTAGGAGCTGTGATAGTGATCGTTAATGCATTTGATATTTTAATCTATTAGGTTGAGAGATCGATAGGTTAAATTATTGGATAGTGGATTTAGGACTTGAGAGAGCCAAATCTGATTTTAGAACTTGAGATCCCTGTTTAGAGTTCGATGTACGTAGATTCTCCATCCTTAGAAACAATCCCTGCGCGTTAAGGTTATCCCGAAGCTACGGTGGTTTAATTATCTGATTTTACTTAGTTTATTTATTGCTTTATTTTCGGTATTCATCTATTCCATCTGCTATTTCCTGATCTAATTCTTGGTCGAGTCTTGTTCCTAGAGTTAACTATTCCCTGTGTTCCACCCTGGTACTATAGTTGATCTGTATCCTTGCGATATTCGCTGTATCTAGGTTTTTATTACTTGAGCTTATTTATACACCTAGATTTGCGTTATCAAGTTTTTGACGCCGTTGTCGGGGAATAGTTTAGCGTTAGGATAGAGATTCCTTTGAATCTAGATCCTCTCTCGTTACTTTTATCGCGTTCCTGATCTATTCTAGTTCGTTGTCCTAATTTTCTGGTGTGTAGGTTTTCCGGTGTATGACCAGGAGTTCTGGGCCTGACAACCTAGTCCCTTTTGATCCAGAAATCGAGAAATCTGCCAAACGCATTCGGAAGAAGAAGAAACAACAGAAGAAGATGGAGGAACGTGCTTTAGCTGTCGAGAATGACAATGACACTTATGGGGCATATCTTCAGCCCAAGTACACTCAACAGTTCTCATGCATTCGCCGGCCCGATATCGATCGCAATAAATTTGAATTCCAGCCGGCATTCATCAGTATGCTCAGCTCATCGACATTTAGGGGCAGACCTAATGAAGATCCAATCCCCCATCTGACTCGATTCAAACTGCCATGTCAGTCTGTGAAGATGGTTCAAGGAGTCACCGATGAGTCACTTATGCTGATGGCTTTTCCATTCTCTCTAATGGACGCTACATTAGAATGGCTCTACACATTGCCACCAGATTCCATCTTCTCTTGGGATCAGATGCAAGAGAATTTCATGCAGCGATTCTTCCCTGCCAGCAAAACCCATCTCGCGAAGGAACAGATCAACTCTTTTAATGCAGGAACCCGATGAATCTTTGCGCGAGACTTGGGATCGGTTTCTTGGATATCAGCGCCTCTGCCCTCATCACGGTTTGGACAAGAGGTACCTTATCTCCACTTTCTTGCAGGGTCTAAAGGAAGATACTCGAGTCCTCATTCGAGTTGCCTGTGGAGGAAGCCTCAATGAGAATTCTTTTGACTTCATCGAACAACAAATCACGAAGATGGCTAACGAGTGTGCTCCCTCCCACGAATTCGTCAGAAATATTGGCTTTAAAGACAACCGTACAGGTAAGGAAAGTCCATCTGAGATACATGCTTTACGTGCACAGCTTGCCAAACTTAGAATGCAGGTAGAAAACGCCCATCAAATCACTGATCTGGACGCTCCACGAGACGAGTACGTGCATGAGGATGTCAGCTACGTCGCCAACAATCCGTACTCGAACACATACAACCCAGGTTGGAGGAATCACCCAAATTTCTCATATAAGAACTCCTCCAACGCTCTAAATGCACAGCACAACAATTTCGGTGGTTCATCTATCTCGGGCTCCTCTCAAGGAAATCAATCTCAACCCCGAAATGCCGACCATCATCAGAATCCAGTCCCTCAACACTACCGAGCTCCCCGTCAGCCTCAGCAAAACTTCGGCCTGCCTCCATCTCAATCACAGGCAAGTCCTGACTCTGACATCAAATCTATGCTTGCACAACTTATGCAGGGTCAAGAAGCCATTCGCACCGAGATGCGAGAACATCAGCAGAAGACCGACGCCCATCTCAAGCTAGTCGATAACCAGATAGCGCAACTTGCTACCTCTGTCCCTTCGCGACCTCAGGGATCACTTCCCGGGAACCCGGAAGCAAACCCCCGAGAGTACTGTAACGTTGTATCCTTGCGCAGTGGCAAAGAGCTCGCTAACCCTATCATCACATCTACGGAAAAAGATCAGTGCTCTAACTCTACCCCTACATCTTTTCCTGACCCCATAGTTGTTGAAAAATCGACAGAGATCTCGGGCGATGAAGAACGCGACGTATACATTCCACCGCCACCACGTCCGCCTCCGGTTCCTTTCCCTCAACGACTGAGGAAAACTAAAGAAGACACCCAATTCGCTCGATTTGCTGACATGGCGCGTAAGTTGGAAATCACTATGTCGTTCCACGAGGTTATCACTCAGATACCATCCTATGCCAAATTCCTGAAGGACATTCTCACAAAGAAGCGCGTCATCGAGAAGGAAACCATCACGCTTAATCCCGAGTGCAACGCCATTCTTCAGCACGATCTGCCACCGAAAATGTCGGATCCAGGTAGCTTCTCGATTCCCTGCAAATTGGGAAATGTTTCTATAGATTGTGCTCTTTGTGATTTAGGTGCCAATGTAAGTCTCCTACCACTCTCCATCTACAAAAAACTCAACGTGGGAGAACTCAAACCGACTCGCATGGCTCTTCAACTAGCTGATCGTTCTGTCAAATACCCTCTGGGTATTCTCGAGGACGTTCCGCTGAAAGTAGGCGATTACTACGTACCGGTCGATTTCGTTGTGCTTGACATGGACGAAGACGCAAAAATCCCGATTATTCTAGGGTGGCCATTCTTAAACACTGCAGATGCCATTTTCCACGTTTGTACCGGCCAACTGACACTCAAGATCGGCGACGAAACGGTGGAATTCACGCTCGACCAGAATTTCAAGCAACCATCTACAGTGGACTCTATATGTTACATCGACTTGATGGATGCTTTAGCCGATGAGGTACTCTTTGAATTTCGTGATTTCGATGCTCTCTCTATTGCTCTTCTTTCTAAACAGGGTTGCAGTACCTTCACAGAGCCTCAGATTCACGCATACACATCATTCCTGGACAGTTTAGACGAAATGCCATGCAACACAGCCGTGTCTCATACAAACACGGACCGTGTCGATATTCTGCCGAAAAACATCGAACGAGACACGCCCGTGTTTGCCAACAGCTCAGTCCATGTTTCATGCAACACGGACCGTGTCAAATGCCTGAGCAATTTTGCGAAACAAGACACGCCCGTGCATCATTCTGGGCTAGCTCATGCACAACTCGACACGGCCGTGTCGAGTGTGAACTCGAACCATGTCGAGTCTCAGATTCATCTCCAGTCTGTTCCTTTGTTCGAACCGTTGCCCGTCTTCGCCGCCAAATCAACCTCCATGCATCATCTACCTGACTGGGACCCTGCAATAGCTCCGAAACTTGAACTAAAACCCTTGCCCATTGGACTCAGGTATGCATTTCTCGGTCTCGATTCCACTTATCCTGTTATTGTCAATGCTGCCTTGGATGATCTACAGCTCGAGCGTCTCCTCACCATATTGCGAGAGTACCGGAAGGCTATCGGATACACTCTAGATGATATCAAAGGTCTCAACCCTTCATTATGCATGCATCGAATTCATCTGGAGGACAATTCCAAATCATCCATCGAACATCAACGCCGACTCAATCCATCGATGAAAGAAGTCGTCAAGAAAGAGGTACTAAAACTTCTGGATGCAGGTATCATTTACCCTATATCCAACAGTCCTTGGGTAAGTCCGGTTCAAGCCGTCCCAAAGAAAGGCGGTATGACGGTGATCAAAAACGACAAAAATGAGCTGATTCCGACAAGAACAGTAACAGGCTGGCGTATGTGCATCGATTATAGGAAGTTAAATGCGAACACTCGCAAAGATCACTTCCCTTTACCTTTCATTGATCAAATGCTTGAACGTCTTGTTCTTCATTCCTATTTTTATTTTCTTGACGGCTACTCGGGATTCTTTCAAATTCCTATTCACCCCAATGATCAGGAGAAGACAACTTTCACCTGCCTTTACGGGACCTTCGCCTATCGGCGCATACCATTTGGGCTTTGCAACGCCCCCGCTACTTTTCAACGATGCATGATGGTGATCTTCTCTGACATTATTGAAGATTCGATAGAAGTGTTCATGGACGATTTTTCTGTCCACGGACCTTCCTTCGAAGTTTGTTTGACTAATCTTCGTAAAGTTTTGGATAGATGTTTGCAGGTCAATCTAGTGCTCAATTGGGAGAAGTGCCATTTCATGGTACAAGAAGGCATCGTTCTCGGACACAAAATCTCTGACAAAGGCATCGAGGTTGACAGAGCTAAAATCGAGGTGATCGAGAAATTACCGCCCCCGCACAATATTAAGGCCATCCGCAGTTTCCTTGGTCATGCCGGTTTCTATCGTCGTTTCATCAAGGACTTCTCCAAAATCACCAAACCTCTTACCGATCTCCTCTGTAAGGATGTACCTTTCATTTTCACTAATGATTGCCTTGCAGCTTTTGAGACGCTCAAAAAGGCGTTGATTTCCCCGCCCATCATTCAACCACCAGATTGGGATCTGCCTTTCGAAATTATGTGTGATGCCAGCGATTATGCAGTAGGAGCCGTGCTTGGACAACGACAGAATAAAGTACTTCACGCGATCTACTATGCCAGCAGAACTTTGGATGATGCCCAGGTAAACTACACTACAACTGAGAAAGAACTGCTTGCTGTTGTCTTTGCATTTGAAAAACTCAGGTCATACCTTGTCGGCTCCAAAGTCATAGTCTACACCGATCACGCCGCTCTGCGACATTTGCTCTCCAAGAAGGACGCTAAACCACGCCTCATCCGTTGGATATTACTTCTTCAAGAGTTCGACCTTGAGATCCGGGACAAGAAAGGAGCCGAGAATGGAGTAGCTGATCATTTGTCTCGCCTTGAACTTCCAGAGCAACTTTCCATTGACGACAATCTTCGCGATGAGCATGTCTTTGCCATCTCTACTCTTCCAGAAGCTCCGTGGTATGCTGATTACGTCAATTACCTGGTAAGTGAAATTCTTCCACCAGATCTGAGTTACAATGCCAGGAAGAAATTTCTCCACGACGTCAAGGACTATTTCTGGGATGATCATTTCCTCTTCAAGAGAGGTACTGACGGTCTATTCCGCCGCTGCATCCCTGAAGGTGAGATCTTCAGTGTTATTTCCCATTGTCATTCTTCTGACTACGCAGGTCACTTCGCGACGTCAAAAACCGCGACAAAAATTCTTCAGGTTGGTTTCTATTGGCCCGCGCTCTTCAAAGATGTCCACAGGTTTGTTTCTTCATGTGACGCTTGCCAGCGTACGGGTAATATATCCCGTCGTCATGAAATGCCCCAACAATATATTCTTGAGGTAGAACCATTCGATGTCTGGAACATAGATTTTATGGGACCTTTCCCCTCTTCTTGCGGAAATGTGTACATTATGGTTACAGTTGACTACGTGACCAAATGGGTGGAAGTCCTGGCAAGTCCCACGAACGACAACAAAACTGTGGTGCGTATGCTCAAACGCACGATCTTCCCACGATTCGGTGTTCCCCGTGTCATCATCAGCGATGGGGGATCACACTTCATCAACCGCACGATCAAGGCCCTCCTGCTCAAATACGGTGTCAAACACAAGATTACAACGCCTTATCACCCTCAGACCAGTGGAATGGTGGAAGTTTCAAACCGGGAGATCAAGTCCATACTCGAGAAGACGGTATCCAAATTCCGAAAAGATTGGGCTCTCAAACTCGATGACGCCGTCTGGGCTTATCGCACGACATTCAAAACCCCCATCGGGATGACACCGTTCCAACTCGTCTATGGCAAGGCATGCCATCTCCCCGTAGAATTAGAGCACAAAGCTTACTGGACCATTAAGCACTTGAACTATGACATCAAATCTGCGGCCGAGAAACGGGTTCTCTCGTTCCATCATCTTGAGGAAATACGCCTTGATGCGTATGAAAACGCTAAAATCTACAAAGAGCGGACGAAGAAATGGCACGACAAGCACATCCTCCAGCGTCACTTCCAGGTAAACGATCTTGTCCTTTTGTTTAACTCACGATTGCGACTTTTTCCAGGAAAGTTGAAATCCCGGTGGTCTTCCCGTTCAAGATCAAATCTGTATCGCCAAGCGGTGCCATCGAACTATGGGATCATTCTGGAAGCTCATTCAAAGCTAACACGCAATGTCTGAAGCTCTACAACCCTGCTTTTCCATCGGACACGAGAGGAGCCATCGCCCTCTCTGATCCCGCAGAGCAATGAATCCTTGCCAAGTCCAGCTAACGACCTAAAACAAGCGCTTGTCGGGAGGCAACCCGACCCCGTATCCTTATTATATATTAGTTTTGTTTCTACCCGCTCATTGCTATATCTTCTCTCGTGGTCATTTCTGGCTATTGCAGGTCTCACGGGTCACCGAACTATTCATCTTTCATTTTTGGCCAGAATTCAGCACGGCCCGTGTTGCGTGTAACTCGGCCGTGTTCACTATTGTTCGATTCGGTGTTCCCCGTGTCATCATCAGCGATGGGGGATCACACTTCATCAACCGCATGATCAAGGCCCTCCTGCTCAAATACGGTGTCAAACACAAGATTACAACGCCTTATCACCCTCAGACAGTGGAATGGTGGAAGTTTCAAACCGCGAGATCAAGTCCATACTCGAGAAGACGGTATCCAAATCCCGAAAAGATTGGGCTCTCAAACTCGATGACGCCGTCTGGGCTTATCGCACGGCATTCAAAACCCCCATCGGGATGACAACGTTCCAACTCGTCTATGGAAAGGCATGCCATCTCTCCGTAGAATTAGAGCACAAAGCTTACTGGGTCATTAAGCAGTTGAACTATGACATCAAATCTGCGGCCGAGAAACGGGTTCTCTCGCTCCATCATCTTGAGGAAATACGTCTTGATGCGTATGAGAACGCTAAAATCTACAAAGAGCGGACGAAGAAATGGCACGACAAGCACATCCTCCAGCGTCACTTCCAGGTAAACGATCTTGTCCTTTTGTTTAACTCACGATTGCGACTTTTTCCAGGGAAGTTGAAATCCCGGTGGTCTGGCCCATTCAAGATCAAATCTGTATCATCAAGCGGTGCCATCGAACTATGGGATCATTCTGGAAGCTCATTCAAAGCTAACGCACAATGTCTGAAGCTCTACAACTCTGCTTTTCCATCGGACACGAGAGGAGCCATCGCCCTCTCTGATCCCGCAGAGCAATGAATCCTTGCCAGGTCCAGCTAACGACTTAAAACAAGCGCTTGTCGGGAGGCAACCCGACCCCGTATCCTTATTATATATTAGTTTTGTTTCTACCCGCTCATTGCTATATCTTCTCTCGTGGTCATTTCTGGCTATTTCAGGTCTCACGGGTCACCGAACTATTCATCTTTCATTTTTGGTCGGAATTCAGCACGGCCCGTGTTGCGTGTAACTCGACCGTGTTCACTATTGTTCGATTCGGTGTTCCCCGTGTCATCATCAGCGATGGGGGATCACACCTCATCAACCGCACGATCAAGGCCCTCCTGCTCAAATACGGTGTCAAACACAAGATTACAACGCCTTATCACCCTCAGACTAGTGGAATGGTGGAAGTTTCAAACCGCGAGATCAAGTCCATACTCGATAAGACGGTATCCAAATCCCGAAAAGATTGGGCTCTCAAACTCGATGACGCCGTCTAGGCTTATCGCACGGCATTCAAAACCCCCATCGGGATAACAACGTTCCAACTCGTCTATGGAAAGGCATGCCATCTCTCCGTAGAATTAGAGCACAAAGCTTACTGGGTCATTAAGCAGTTGAACTATGACATCAAATCTGCGGCCGAGAAACGGGTTCTCTCGCTCCATCATCTTAAGGAAATACGTCTTGATGCGTATGAGAACGCTAAAATCTACAAAGAGCGGACGAAGAAATGGCACGACAAGCACATCCTCCAGCGTCACTTCCAGGTAAACGATCTTGTCCTTTTGTTTAACTCACGATTGCAACTTTTTCCAGGAAAGTTGAAATCCCGGTGGTCTTCCGTTCAAGATCAAATCTGTATCGCCAAGCGGTGCCATCGAACTATGGGATCATTCTGGAAGCTCATTCAAAGCTAACGCACAATGTCTGAAGCTCTACAACTCTGCTTTTCCATCGGACACGAGAGGAGCCATCGCCCTCTCTGATCCCGCAGAGCAATGAATCCTTGCCAGGTCCAGCTAACGACTTAAAACAAGCGCTTGTCGGGAGGCAACCCGACCCCGTATCGCGGTGCCATCGAACTATGGGATCATTCTGGAAGCTCATTCAAAGCTAACGCACAATGTCTGAAGCTCTACAACTCTGCTTTTCCATCGGACACGAGAGGAGCCATCGCCCTCTCTGATCCCGCAGAGCAATGAATCCTTGCCAGGTCCAGCTAACGACTTAAAACAAGCGCTTGTCGGGAGGCAACCCGACCCCGTATCCTTATTATATATTAGTTTTGTTTCTACCCGCTCATTGCTATATCTTCTCTCGTGGTTATTTCTTGCTATTTCAGGTCTCACGGGTCACCGAACTATTCATCTTTCATTTTTGGCCGGAATTCAGCACGGCCCGTGTTGCGTGTAACTCGACCGTGTTCACTATTGTTCGATTCGGTGTTCCCCGTGTCATCATCAGCGATGGGGGATCACACCTCATCAACCGCACGATCAAGGCCCTCCTGCTCAAATACGGTGTCAAACACAAGATTACAACGCCTTATCACCCTCAGACCAGTGGAATGGTGGAAGTTTCAAACCGCGAGATCAAGTCCATACTCGATAAGACGGTATCCAAATCCCGAAAAGATTGGGCTCTCAAACTCGATGACGCCGTCTAGGCTTATCGCACGACATTCAAAACCCCCATCGGGATGACAACGTTCCAACTCGTCTATGGCAAGGCATGCCATCTCCTCTGTAGAATTAGAGCACAAAGCTTACCGGGCCATTAAGCAGTTGAACTATGACATCAAATCTGCGGCCGAGAAACGGGTTCTCTCGCTCCATCATCTTGAGGAAATACGCCTTGATGCGTATGAAAACGCTAAAATCTACAAAGAGCGGACGAAGAAATGGCACGACAAGCACATCCTCCAGCGTCACTTCTAGGTAAACGATCTTGTCCTTTTGTTTAACTCACGATTGCGACTTTTTCCAGGAAAGTTGAAATCCCGGTGGTATGGCCCGTTCAAGATCAAATTTGTATCGCCAAGCGGTGCCATCGAACTATGGGATCATTCTGGAAGATCATTCAAAGCTAACGCGCAACGTCTGAAGCTCTACAACCCTGCTTTTCCATCGGACACGGGAGGAGCCATCGCCCTCTCTGATCCCGCAAAGCAATGAATCCTTGCCTGGTCCAGCTAACGACCTAAAACAAGCGCTTGTCGGGAGGCAACCCGACCCCGTATCCTTATTATATATTAGTTTTGTTTCTACCCGCTCATTGCTATATCTTCTCTCGTGGTCATTTCTGGCTAATTCAGGTCTCACGGGTCACCGGACTATTCAACTTTCATTTTTGGCCGGAATTCAGCACGGCCCGTGTTGCGTGTAACTCGGCCCGTGTCGATTTGAACACGACCGTGTTCACTATTGTTCGATTTTCACAGAGATTCTGCACGGCCCGTGTCGATTTGAACACGACCGTGTTCGATTTGCGAATTTTTGACAGAAAATCTGCACGGCCCGTGTTCTACTTCAACACGGCCGTGTTCGTTTTGCGAATTTTTGACAGAAAATTTGCACAGTCCGTGTTCTGACTCAACACGGCCGTGTTCGCTTTTTCAAACTGCGCAAGGATACAGCATTACAGTGCTCTTGGGGGTTTGCTTCCGGGTTCCCGGGAAGTGATCCATGAGGTCGCGAAGGGACAGAGGCAGCAAGTTGCGCTATCTGGTTATCGACTAGCTTGAGATGGGCGCCGCTCTTCTGCTGATGTTCTTGCATCTCGGTGCGAATGGCTTCTTGACCTTGCATAAGTTGTGCAAGCATAGTCTGACAATCTGTTTTTCCCATTTTGACAGTCCTTGATGCATTTTAGCACATCATCTAGTAAATCTGCATAGAAAAACTGCAAAAACCCGATTTCAGGTGATCAGTTAGAAGATTCATGAGCGATAGAGTAGAAATCTCTTGAGAGTATAGATGAACCTGGCTTAGTTATCTAAGCGCTCGAATGAATTGTCGGACTTATCCGAAAAGGTAGCTTGACCTGAGGAATGATCTATAGGTTATGAGATGAGTCGTTGCCTAGGATGAAAGAGGGAACGAAAGCTTTCTATATATTTGATCAGAGGAATTTATCAATCATGTGGTCATAACTTTTCAAAAAGATATAAAATAGATTTAAACTATTTAATTCAATCTAGTTTAACATTGATTGGTTAAAATATAACATAAATGATCCATTTACACATATTGTTATTAATTTATAGTTTCAATAATTTAATAATCGATATAAAGAAGTGTATTAATAACTGTTAATTTGTATTACAGTTTTAAATTCTATTGACTCATTTTTTGAGTTTAACATTTCAAATTTAATGAAATTGAGTGAATTTTATATAAACATTTTAGCTTTGAGAATAGATTTTATCGAAAAAATATATTTTAGACAATTACAAATAAAAATATTATGTATAGATTTCAAAAAATAAAAAAATGTAGCATTCAGTTGTAAAATATAAATATTTTTTAGATGATACATATTATTAATTTTTTTATTTTATATATATTTTAATTGTGCCCCCATTAATTTTTTGTTCTGAATCCGCCACTGCATATATATATATACATAAATATATACATATAAACACATGAATAAAATATTAAAATTGAAAATAAAAATAAATACATACATACACATATATATGTATGTACATGTATACATACATACATATATATACACATAAAAATATAAACACATATATACATACAAAATAAAAAGTTAAAAAAATAAAATATATATACATATATGCATAAGTATATCTACACATATCCATACAGACATGTATATATATACATATATACATGCAAATACATTCATATATACATACATACATACATGGATATATATACACACACATGTATAAATATACATACATATAGATATATAAAAAAATAAAAAATAAAAAATAAAAATACATATATACCCATAAAAATATAAACATATCTATATAAAATGAAAAGTAAAAATAAAAATATATACACGTATATGCATAAATATATGCACATGACTATACAAACATGTATTACACATATATATATACAAACACATTCATATATACACACATATATATAGATATATATATACACATACACATATACACAAATATACATACATATATATTGACATATAAATAACATATTAAAAATTAAAATTAAAAATATAATAAAATATAAAAAATAAAAACACATATATACATACACGTAAAAAGATAAACACATATATACATACAAAATAAAAATATATACATACATATATACACATATACACAAATTAAAAATTAAAACTAAAATATTAAAAATACATACATAAAAAAAATAAATGAGAATATAGAATTAAAATTATTTCTTTTTAATTAGTAATATTTGTATACATATATCTACATATAAATCCATATAAACATGTATATATATAACATATACATAGGTATACGTGTATACACAAATACATATGAATATATATACATACATATATATGCACACATACATCTATATACATATATATTTACATGTATATGTACATATATACATACATATACATCTATATAATCATGTATACATGTATATATTTATAATATTTGTATATACACTTAATAAATACAAACACACACATATATAGATATACATATAAAATAAAAAGTAAAAAACAAATAAATATATATATATATGTATATGTATATGCTTACATATATATATATATAAACATCCATTTAAACATGTATACATATAAATATATTCATATAAAAACACATAGATATACATATATATTAAAATATATACACAAATACATCGTCATATACACATATATACTTCTATACACAAATATGCATATATATATACATGCATACAAATGTGTTTTTAAAATATTCATTACTTTTTGTAACATTAAGCGATATCTTTCAAATGAGAATAAGGTAGAGAACCTCGAGTTAGCGCATATATATAGAAATGCATAAAATTAAAGAAGAATAGATACATATCAATCTTACATTTTCATACACTCCTCAAGAAATCCGTGATACTTTTGTGCATGTCCACTGCATCAACATAATATAAAAATATATTAACCAAATATTTCTGCAACAACATAATAAAAAAGAAATTATCCAAATGTTACCCATGAACCCAAAAATAAACTAATACGAGATGTAAAAAGAAACGATGTTAAATAGTACACACAATAATACACTAAAAATGAAATTAATTAAAGAAATAGACATAATAATTATGCATTAATGTTTTTGGCCACCGTTTCTTTTTTTTAGTGGGGCAAATGAATAGTTGGCCAATTAATTTGCATACGTAATAAATTTATAATTCATATATTCACGTACAAAATAAAATTATGTTACATTTCGTAAGTAATTGTGTTATACCCAATTAATTTTCTTGAATTATTATTATAAGAGATTTAAAAATTTCGATAGATTATTAAGGACTAATAAATAGGGGTATTCAAGTTGGCCTAATGCGATATAAAAAGACTTTTATTTTATGACTTTAATGAATTATTTATTATGTGACTTTTCATTAAAAGTTTGCTTGTCCCCTCCTTCCCATAACAATCGTACCGTTATTTTTTTGTGCAATTATTTTGTTGTTATTAAATGTGTATATTATTAATCCTTATTAGTTTTAATAGCCAATGACAATTTAGAAAATAGACACATAGGATGTTGATGTGTATAAACCAATCAAAATTTAAAAAACTGCCATGTAGATTGATGAGGTGGCTTCACCAGATTCTTTCAAACACAATTATTAATATATATAGATTTTTGATAGTCTATCTAAAGAGAACATTAACATGAGTTATTCACTCAAAACCAGAAGAATCAAAATACAAAATCTATATATATTAAAAATTGTGTTTAAAGAATTGTGGTGGTGACACCTCATAATCCACATCATCATCTATGTGGCAGATTTTTCAATTTTCTATTGTAAATAAAGTATTTCAATATTGAAATAACCGAAGAAAATACAAAATATTAGTTTTAATGGTGCACGTTTTTTTTATACCCTCACATTCTTATCATATTAAAATTAATCATTAAGTTTAGTTTTAATGGTGAACGTTTTTTTTTTCATATTCTTCCACTCTTATCATATTAAAATTAATCATTAAGTTTTTTCATCTATATATTTTTTAAAAGCTATTAACAGATTATGATAGTTTAAAACTTTTTCTTTATTATATAAAATCAATTTAAACCTTAGTTTTAGTTATAAAAATTGTTAATATTGGGAGGAAATCACATTGTTAATATTTTGAGCAAAACACGTTAAAAGCAATAAACAGATTTAAAATTCCTATAAATATCTCTTTTATTTATTATATAAAAAATAAAAGTCATCGAAACATTAGGAAATAGAGAATTTTAAGTGTGTCCAAGTTGATATTTATTGCGTAAAAAATTAATGGAGCAAAACGTATGGTGTCAAAGACGTCGAACAATCATATTAATTTGTGATTTTGAAAATATTTCATCGATGACTTCATATCTCCTTAGCGATTCGGTCGAAGACAGAATAAGTAGAAAGAACAAAAGATAAGTTTATTAATAAATGAGATTGATTCGATGCATGAACTTTCTGTTTTTTTCTTTGTTTGAGTTTTATATATTTAAAGTGAATCATGTGGTATTTGATGAAAATAAGATATTTGATCAAAGCAAAACTGTCAAAAAATGTGCAAAAACGCATCTCTAATCCCAAATGGATTTTCGGAGTGATAATAGAACATATTGTCAATGAAACAAAGATACGTCACACTGGTCATATCATTCAAAATTTAACATTGGTCATAAAAGTCACACTAGTCACACATGTCATAGTGATCACCCCGTTCAAAATTTATTCTGGTCATACTGGTCACACTAGTCACATTGGTCACATTGGTCACACTGATCACACCGTTCAAAATTTATTATGGTCACACGGGTCATACTGGTCACACCGTTCAAAATTTATTATGGTCATATAGGTCACAATGGTCATACAGATTACCTAGTCACACTGATCACACAGATCACACCGTTCAAATTTTAAATTCTGGTCATATTGGCCACACTGATCACACATGTAACACTGATCATATAGGTCACATAACTTGATAT